CTATGAAAAATGAATAATCGAGATATTGCAATAACTACTTTTAGGGTGCTATCACAAAGAGGATGACTGCAATTGAAGAGATGGCAGGTATGGATGTGCTTTGCAGTGATAAGACTGGAACACTTACATTAAACAAGCTAACTGTCGACAAAAATCTTGTTGAGGTCAGTAAGGAAATGTAGTTTTGTTCAACTTATTTAATTATATATCGTTCATCCCACTAACACTAGGTCATTCAAAATGGGATATCTGACTTGAAAACTTTAGGTTTTTGCTAAAGGAGTGGATGTGGATACTGTGGTTCTAATGGCAGCCCGGGCATCAAGAATGGAGAATCAAGATGCTATTGATACTGCTATTGTTGGGATGCTTGCTGACCCAAAAGAGGTTTCAATGACTTGTACATGTTTTGTTGCAAGTATTCATTTTGTATGTAACTACTCTGAGTGTAATATGTTCGTCTATTTCTTGTTTCTGAAAGGCTCGTGCCAGTATTCAAGAAGTACACTTCCTTCCATTTAACCCTACTGATAAGCGGACTGCATTGACTTACATAGACCATGAGGGTAAAATGCATAGAGTCAGCAAAGGTGCACCAGAGCAGGTATATATCTGCCCTTTTAGGTTATATTGATGTTTCTTTTTTTTCCAATTAGAATGAGAAAAATGATTAGTCTCAACGCACAATACTGTTTTCTTGTTGATTATGATCCTAGATTTTGAACCTAGCGCACAATAAGTCGGAGATTGAGCGCAAAGTTCATGCTGTGATAGACAAGTTTGCAGAACGAGGTTTACGCTCTCTAGCTGTCGCATACCAGGTATTTAGTGTCTCAATTGATGACTGTTCCTTGTAATTAATTTAATTTTATCTTATATTTTTACTGGTTTTGTTATCATTTATACACAGGAAGTTCCAGATGGTAGGAAGGAGAGTGCTGGAGGTCCATGGCAGTTTGTTGGCCTTCTGCCACTGTTTGACCCACCAAGGCATGATAGTGCAGAGACAATAAGGAGGGCCTTAAACCTCGGAGTGAATGTGAAGATGATTACTGGTACGTATATTTTTGATAGCCATTCTGTTAATGTAGAGAATATACTGAATATCATAACCTCTGAACCGGGGTTAAATATGCTTGCATATAATTTTTATCTAATGCATGAATTTACCTTGGATGCCATTATCCTCTGTTCTTTGTATGCCTTCAATTTAACCTTGGATGGAGTGTCAGGCTATTACCTATCTGTTTGACTGAGAGTAAAGCTATAAATGAAAGACTAAGAGGGGAGCACGATATAAATGTTAGGCGACGGATATGTTGATTTCTCCATTTAAGAAAAATCCAAAAATGTGTTTAACTAGTTTTTTGTGTTTGTTGTCATGGACCTGGGAGTCGCATGCCCTAGCTTATGTGCTTCTGACCGTTTTTGCTTTTAGGTGACCAGCTGGCTATTGGAAAGGAAACAGGACGTCGCTTGGGGATGGGAACCAACATGTATCCTTCATCTGCTTTATTAGGTCAGGACAAGGATGAGTCTATTGCTGCTTTACCTGTTGATGAACTGATAGAAAAAGCTGATGGCTTTGCTGGTGTTTTTCCTGGTATATTTTCTATCTTCCAATGAGTTTTCTTCATTTCTAAGATATAGAGTTCTTGAAGTCATGACATTCAGACAAGTAACATGCTCTTGTTGTGTCAATGCTATTGTTCGATCCAGAGCACAAATATGAGATTGTAAAGCGCCTGCAGGCTAGGAAACATATCTGTGGAATGACTGGCGATGGGGTAAATGATGCTCCCGCCCTTAAAAAAGCAGACATAGGCATTGCTGTTGCTGATGCCACCGATGCTGCTCGTAGTGCTTCAGACATAGTCCTCACAGAGCCTGGTTTGAGTGTTATCATTAGTGCTGTTTTGACCAGCCGAGCAATCTTTCAGAGGATGAAAAATTACACTGTAAGCAGATCATTTCGTATCTCATGTTTAGCTTTCTCCATTCTCGCTTGAAAAGTTACTATTGTTGTTGCTTCAACTTCACTTCCACAAATTTTACAAGTATGTATTGCTGTATTGTAGTAATCTTCTTCTTCTTCTGTTTTTTCTAATATAAAATATGGAAGAGGTATTTGATGATATACTTACTGAATTTCTGTATGTGGCAGATATATGCAGTTTCAATCACTATTCGTATAGTGGTAAGTAAATGATGGTTCTGCTCACATTCGAATTTCTGGCATCTCTATATTCTTTCTGTTAATCCATTCATTCAAGTGTTTTCTGATATTATGGTCTAGAAATGTTTTCATCTTGTATGTTGCTTGTCAACAGCTTGGTTTCATGTTGCTGGCTCTCATATGGAAATTTGACTTTCCACCTTTTATGGTGCTCATCATTGCCATTCTCAATGATGGTTCGTACTTCCTCTTCTATTTTTTTTTTTAAAATATGTTGCCATTAGCATCATATAGCCCCATCGTGAGTCTACTCTTAGATTAAGTCGTAAACACTGCAAGTTTCCAACCAACTTATATCTCCTTGTTAAGATGTGTGAAACTAGCAATTTCCTTCAATGCTATAAATATTACTTGTTGCAGCTTCTGGTTAGAATATGAATTTCTTAAAAGATAATTGGCATGTTATAGAGCAAATTGCAGATGTTTTTCAAGTTCATACTTTTAACAACTAAGAACGTTCTTCGATTAATTGTTGGAACTTTGATAATAGGTACAATAATGACGATATCTAAGGACAGAGTGAAACCATCTCCTTTGCCTGATAGCTGGAAGCTTGCGGAAATTTTTACAACTGGCATTATACTTGGCGGCTACATGGCAATGATGACTGTTATCTTCTTTTGGGCAGCCTATAAGACCGACTTTTTTCCAGTAAGATAGCTGCATTTGTTATTGAAAAATTGCATTAGAACTCTATGATTCGTGTTGACAGCCAACAGTAGTGTTATCTTGTGAATTGTTTTTACAACTAGTGATCTTCTATGAGGTTGTCTAGCGATTTATTTGCTCTTTTTCAGCGAATCTTTGGGGTGGCAACTCTTGAGAAAACTGCTCACGATGACATTAGGAAACTTGCCTCAGCTATTTATCTGCAAGTAAGCACTATAAGTCAGGCTCTTATATTTGTTACACGCTCTCGAAGTTGGTCTTATGTGGAGCGTCCTGGACTATTACTGGTTGCGGCTTTTCTGGTTGCACAGCTGGTGAGTGGACTACCAATAAACTTCAGTACAGAAATTTGTTTGCCAAGGTTATGATTAGGACTGAACTGGTTTTTTCCTTCCTGAACAGATTGCTACTTTAATTGCTGTTTATGCAAACTGGAGCTTTGCTGCCATTGAAGGAATTGGATGGGGTTGGGCTGGTGTAATCTGGCTTTACAATATCATCTTTTACATCCCACTTGATCTCATTAAGTTCTTTATACGATATGTTTTGAGTGGGAGGGCTTGGGACCTTGTTATTGAACAAAGAGTATTTCTCTCTCCCTGCTGAGTTACATCGTGTGATTTTCCTGTTATTTGTGTCGTGATCGAGTTGTGTCTTGGCATGTAGATTGCCTTTACGAGGCAAAAGGACTTCGGGAAGGAACAACGGGAGCTCCAATGGGCTCATGCTCAAAGAACACTACATGGATTGCAAGCACCTGATGCCAAGATGTTCCATGACCGGACCCATTTCACTGAGCTCAATCAGATGGCTGAAGAAGCCAAAAGGAGAGCAGAAATTGCAAGGTATGCACCGAACCTGAAGAAGTAATTGTTTTAGATATACATTTTTCTTTTGCAAGGCACAACATCAAGATGATTCGATTATAAACCTCTCAGGATGGAAGTATTTCATATTTAGAATATAAGCGCTTAGCTTCTGCATCAATATGCTTCATTTCTCAGTGTTCTTCATGGGCTATTTGTTTCAGGTTGAGGGAACTACACACCCTGAAAGGCCATGTTGAATCAGTGGTGAGGCTGAAAGGACTTGACATTGATACAATTCAGCAAGCTTACACAGTGTGACACAAAACTCTAGCTGTAAATTATGGCAACTGCGTTAGTTCTAAAGTGAAAACTGCTGTACGAACACATCAAAGTTTTTCGTTTTTAATATTATTCTAAATCGTCCTAATATCTACTAACGAATACCCAATTCACTCGTCTCCACCCGTCCTTAATTTTCCGGAACTTTTCTATCACGTAGGTAACTCGAGAAAGCATTTTTTTGTGTTTCTTGAGCTCAAAAGCAAAATGATCTTATAACTGTTAGAATAGCCATATTTTTTTGAGTTGAACACATTCATAACGATCAATATTCGTGATAAACTTTTTGTAGCTACAAATCTTAATTCCCTGCTCCAACTCTAAAGAACGTTGGAGATTTCCAAATGACTCAACAGTGCACAACTAGGATAAGAATAATGAATCCCTAAGTTGAGGCCACCAATCACACTCAACATGTATGCTCGCTGGATTTGATAATAGTTGATAATGAAACCATTTCTATTGCTACCCCTAAAGATGGAGGAACACATACAGCAATCTGAAATGGATACGTTTGACCATTTAGGATGAATTGGGTCCATACTCTATATATGGCTAGGATATCCGGCCTACAATCTGGCCTCGTCACTTTACAACAAAATGGCTATCAAACTATCGAAAAAGGCAACGTGTTGAATTCTTAACTTCTCAATAAAACTCAATTATTTTCAACTACTCATCTTAATTTGGTTTTAAATGCATTCGACATTTGAACCTTTATTGGTTAGCTTTGATCAGAATGTATACCCACCTAATCGGCATAAATATGTTCGTATGAGCATGTTCTAGAGCCAGTTTAAGTTGGTTAAGGTACCTCTAGATCATAGAATGAGTCGACATTAGATAATAGAATAATAATTATTGGGAATGTGAACTTTGGTCCGACAAGGAAAACCTACATCTATACAATGGAGGACAATATCTCTATCAACACGTAATCTTTTGAGTGAAATCAAACCAAAGCAATGACGACTTGAATTGTATCAAAAGTGAACCATATCACGCGTAAAATTTTGAAAGCCTCAAAGTTTGTGGTGGATTATCCCATCAAAGTTTGTGGTGTTGAAGCTTGAAAAGGCAAACTAAAGCCAAACACAAAGCTACGAAATTCTTTTTTCCATTTTTTCTTGTTTTGTGTGGATCAATGTCAGACTAGGATGGCCCTCCACAGTCACCTGGTTTTGTAAGATTTACCCTACACTGCCATGCCACTCTTAATAATTTATGACCTCTAAGGTCTACATATGAAACACAGGGTTGGTTAGCTCGTTGCTTAAGCCCTGAAGATATTTGTATTCTAAACACTATTTTTCTCTGGTTGTTTTGATGCCAAGTGAATCTCAGAGGCATTTTGGGGAGCCTCTTTATACTTATACCACTTTGCACAAACCAGAAAGTAGCACAAATTGAGTAACTCAATGCCACCAACGAAGTAATAAAAGTAATCCAATCTCCCCTTGTTGAGATCCTCAGGCAACCAATCTCCATACTTGGATCCTCTGCTCATCCTATGAACCACTGTTATCAACAGCCCATTCAAATAGCTAGCAACTGCCATGGCGCAAAAGAACATTGACCCTCCAATGCTCCTCATATTCTCTGGGAATTGCTTGTAGTAAAACTCCAATTGGCTCACTGCCCCAAACCCATCAGACAACCCATATAATAAGAGCTGAGGAATCAACCACGAAGCTGACATCGATGAAATTGCCCCTTTTCGTGGCTCAATTCCCACTGTTGGCTTTGTAAGAGCAATGATTCTTCTTCGATCTTCAACTATGGCAGACAAAAGCATTGTGAGTGTGGCCAAAAAAATGCCAATCCCTTGCCTTTGGAGAGTGGTGATTCCGCCTTCTTTTTTGGTGACTTTTTGAAGGAAAGGGACTATGATTCTGTCGTAGATGGGGAGCCAAAAGCTGAGGCTTAGCATTGCGAAGACTGTGTAGGATGCAGCTGGGATTGTGAAGTTTCCTAGGCGCCTGTTTGACTGAAGGGCTTGAAATACTACATAAGTTTGTAGTTGTAACTGAGCAACAAAGAATAGAACTCCTGCCATCCATATTGGTAGCACTCTCATCAAACACTTCACTTCTTCCACTTGCTGCATACTGCAAAGCCTCCATGGATCTGCTGCTGATCCATCCTCCTTTATTTGGTCCTCTTCTGTTATAATTGCTGCTTTGTCCAGAAATCTGTTCACCAACACAAACCCATTTGTGTTGTCAATTAGTTCACGGGCTGTTTTAAAATGTCATTCCAAATCGACTCTAACTCAAGTTATGTGAGGTTGTGTTCGAAGTGTAAAAAGGGTTAAGGGTTTTATACCTGAATTGGTCTGAATAGGAAAGTTTTGAGTTAATGGAGCCTGGAGTTGTGTAGTCAAAGAGGGAAAGCCATGGTTGGTCTGGTTGCTTGAGTTTTCTTTTCTTAATAGCAACCACTAAAACTTGTGCAACGCTGGTCATTGGACTGCCAGTGGCTTCCAATTTCACGTAGATTTTAGAGCCCACGAAGAAGAGTATACAGGCAATGAGCATGAGAGCTGCTGGAATTCCCAATCCCAGAGCCCAGCTGACGTTCGTTTGCACGTAAACTATGACTGTCAATGATATCATCATAGCGAAAGTGTAGGTGAAAACATACCAATTGAAAAAGCTGTTGATTCCTTTCTTCCCAGCTTCTGTATTTGGATTGAACTGATCAGCTCCAAACGCCAAATTACATGGTCGAATGCCACCAGCTCCAATTATCATCAGCCCAAATCCAGCCATTAGGAAAGTCATCTGCCCTGCTGTTGGCCCTTTACACACATCTGCTATACAGTGCGGTGGATGCAAATTCTTGAATAGTGCTGTGAAATGAATTAGAAGCAACCCCTTGAATTGAAAACAAACGTTAATGATACAAATTTTGAAGATGGGAAATGGGAAAAGGATTAATGTTTGGATATCTGGGAAAGTACCAAGAAAGAAGCGACAATTGAAAACCCCACGGTCTTATAGCGCCCAAAGTAAGTATCACAGAGGAAAGCTCCCAACAAAGTGACCAAATTGGTGCAGCCATTGAAGATATTGAGTAGTGTTGCAGCTGTTATGCTCTTCATGTTGAAGACCGACGTCAGATAAATCAAGAGGTTCGCCAAGGTTCCAATAGCTCCCAGCTTCTCAAAGGTCTCATTCCCTGTAGGAAAAAGAACATAAACAACATAAGACATGAAACAGAACAGAACAGAACAGAACAGAACATAGAACAGAGCAGAACAGAACAGAGCCGAAGTTCACCTATGACAAAAGGCATGGCCTTCCAGCCTCTGTAATGTTTCTGGGTCTCCCCACCATCGTTTTGTGGAGGCGCTGCTGCTTCATTTTTCTCCATGTTCTTTGAGTTTGTGTGTGTGTTTTGCAGCTTGGAACAAGGGCCGAGTTTGGGGTATTTATCCCAATTTTTGTGGATGAAGTTGAAGTGTGATTAGAATACAAAACAGGGGTCTCTTACTTCAATGGTATGGTGTCGTTTAGGAAATGCAATTCACACTGCTTGTCTGGATGAAGGCCTAAACAAGAGGACTCAGCTTGCGTAGCGAAATTGGACCACGCCACTACAGTGCGCCCACCGTCAACCTCAGGACAAACTCCGATCGTTTCCACAAAATTTGGTCACGACTCTGTCAATAACATGTGGACATTTTCGGTCGATCCGATTGATTGGTTGCTGCCACCGATCTAATCCAACCCACTCTACTCACTTTTACACACAATTTTTACCTCCCTACTTTTACTTTGTTGCAAATCTAATTCTAGCTTCCATGTCATCCTCTTTTAATTCAACCATTTCAACCTTCTAATTTAGAATTTTGGCTGTGATATTGTCCGATTCCGCATGTTTCATGTTACGGTCAGCCTTACGATTTTAAAACGTGTTTACTAGGAAGAGATTTTCACACCCTGGTAAGAAATGTTTTGTTCCCCTCTCCTACAGGGTGGGATCTCACATCTCACAATCCACCCCCTTGTGAGCCAACATCCTCGCTGGCACACCACTCTATGTCTAGCTTTGATATTGTTTGTAATACCCCAAGACCACCGTTAGCAAATATTATCCGCTTTGACCCATTATGTATCGTCATCATACTCATGGTTTTAAAACGCGTCCGTTAGAGAGAGAGGTTTCCACACCCTTATAAGAAATGTTTCGTTCCCTTCACCAACCGATGTGGGATCTCACAATCCACTCTCCTTGAGAGCCCAACGTCCTTGATGACAAACCGCTCAGTGACTGACTCTAATATCATTTGTAACAGTCCAAGCCCACCGCTAGTAGATATTGTCCACTTTGGCCCCTTAAGTATCGTAGTTAGCCTCATTGTTTTAAAACATGTCTACTACTGATAGGTTTCTACACCTTCGTAAGAAATGTTTTGTTTCCCTCTCCAATCAAAACATTCTTTGTATCTGATTTTGAATATAAGGAACATTTTAACGGAGAAGTTTTCACACCCTTATAAAAAAAATTTCGTTCCATCTTACGAATTTGCTGTACACTTCTTAATTTTTATTTTAAAAAAACTACTAATTACCATATTGAAGGGCGGGTATCTAAATTAATCACTTTTTAAAGTTTATAAGAACAAAAACTTACAAATTAATTCTGGTTTGTAAAAAACTTAGAACCTAATCAAAAGGTGAAGATACGCAATATATAAAAATATATATATAAAAAAAATATTAATTTCATTCATATACATATTTTTAGAATATGATCAATAATTGATGGTATATATTGAAAGAGAGCATAATGCGATAGTCTAAGAGTAGAAAAAGTAAAATGACGAGGATGACCTCTCACCAATTCGTCCCCACATACTTTCTTGATTGATCAAAATTTGTAATACTAAGAAAAGGTGAACCAATAATCAATTTAAACACGTTTGGTACACATAAATGAAAACACATAATATATTTCGACCATATTATAAAAAATTGTTTTTTAGTAAAGATAAGTTAATATGACATAATTACTGTCACATACCCTTTTTTTTTAAGTAGTAAATCAAAGAGTAAAAGAAAAGAAAGAATGCAGTCCTCTTATTATACGTATTTACTTTAAAAAGCTATAAAGTCAAGATTTAATGACAAAATGAGTGGATTGCATTTAATTTAAATAGAGAAAGAGTTGAAATTATTGACATAAAATTGTTCATACATATTATTAATGTCTCCACTCATTTAAGAAATTTTTTTTTTTATAATTCGAGGCTTATTTATTAGCTTCAGACTTAGAGATAGGTTGGAGTTTCTATAAGCCTATACTAGAGATAAAAAATGTTTATTTATCCTTTTCAACCGACTGTATAAGGATGAAAATCATGGTTGGAGAGGTTATTACATTACGATGTTCATTCATATAAGAGAAGTAAGGAAGGTCCATATAAGAACATAATCGCAACCAAAATCCGATTTGACGTTACATTATCAATATTAAATTCATAAACATAAACAGGAAAGGAAGCTGCAAATAACGACACAATCGCAGTCATCAATCAATAAACCACAGTTTTCTCAAATTCTGTCTTCCCAAAGTCCATCTCATCAACGCCATGGCTTCCACTTCCCTTGTACTTGTACCACTTAGAGCACAACACGAAGTACCCCAAGTTCACGGCTTCCAATCCCGATACCATGAAATAGAAATAATCCAATCGACCCTCGTTTAGATCTTCCGGCAGCCAGTTGCCGGTGGTGAGGCTGTGCACCACCGTCACCATGAACCCACTCAAATAGTTCGACAGCGCAAGACCCACAAAAGAAAACGACCCCCCAATGCTCCTCATGTTCTCAGGGAACTCCTTGTAGTAAAATTCGACTTGGGCAATCACGGTGAACGCCTCGGACAACCCAATCAGCGTCAGTTGAGGTACCAACCAGAGCGCAGACATGGACGAAATTGCACCCCTTCTCCCTGTTTCTTCGCACAGGGGCTGTGTGAGGGCCAGATTCCTCCTCTTTTGCTCCACTAATGCTGAGATGAACATGGTTACAATGGCAATGACCATTCCAATCCCCATTTTTTGAAGGAGCGTGATGCCGCCTTCTCTAGCGGTGATTCGGCGCAGAGAAGGGACTACGATTCTGTCGTAGAAAGGGATCCAGATGGTGAGGCCAATCATTGTGAATATGGTGTAGGAGGCGGCTGGGATTTTGAAATAATGGGTGTTCCCGAAGAACAAGCGCCTGTCGGATTGGAGGGCTTGGAAGACGACGTATGTTTGTTGCTGCGTGGTGGCGACATGGTACATTATGGCTGCACCCCATATTGGAATCACTCTCACCAAGCATTTCACTTCTTCCACTTGTTGTGTGCTGCAGAGTGTCCATGGATCGTCTGCAGAGCCATCTGACTTGAATTTGTCTTCTGGGGTTATGATTGCCGCCTTGTTTAGGAAGCTGAAAGCAATAAAAAGGGGTTATTCTCTTTTAACCAAAGACTCAAACTTTGAAAGTGGAGACCCACCTGAACTGATCAGTGTAAGGAAGCTTGGAATTGATGGAGTTTGAGGGAATGTGGTTAAAAAGAGATGGCCATTGCTGGTCCGGCGAAGGCAGGCGCCTTTTCTTGAGAGCAGCCACTAGGACTCGCATCACACTGGTGAAAGGACTCCCTTCGGGTTCCAATTTGACGTAAATCCAAGAACCCATGAAGAAAAGCGCACAGGACAGGAACATGAGGAACGCAGGGATTGCCAATCCCCAAGCCCAGCTGACTTCAGTTTGGACATACACAATGATGGTTAGAGATATGATCATGGCAAATGTGAAGGTGAAGTAGTACCAGTTGAAGAAGCTGTTTATTCCCAACTTCCCGGAGGCTGTGTTGGGATTGAATTGGTCGGCTCCAAACGCCAAGTTGCAGGGTCTGATACCCCCAGCTCCGATTATGAGCAGTCCCAATCCAAATAACAGAAATGCTATCTGCCATGGCGTTGGCTCTAGGCAAGCCCCGCCTGTGGCACTGCCCTTTCCACAATCTGGTGGGTGCAGCTTCTCAATTGTTGCTGTCAGTGTTAGTACAACCATCCCCTGTGCGAGTGATCAGGGACATGAAAGCAACCAAATTATTCAATCCTTATATGTGTTTTTATAAGAGATAGTGAAACAATAGCAGCAGGCGTACCATTAATGAAGCAATGGAGGCATATCCTAAGGTCTTGTAGCGTCCAAAATAAGTGTCACAAAGAAATGCTCCAAACAAAGTGGAAAAGTTGGTGCTGCCATGGAAAATGTTCATAAGAGTGGTGGCAGTGATGGTTTTCATATGAAATACATCTGTCAAATACACCAAAAGGTTTGAAGAAGTGCCCGTAGTCCCCAGCTTCTCAAAAGTTTCATTCCCTAAATCAACAAACCCACATATTGATTAGCATTACAAGTATCAAAACCAAACAAATTGAGTTATGTTACGAACCTACTACAAATGGCAAGGCCTTGACTCCTTTATAATTGACCTTAGCCTCATCAAGATTATGAACATCTTCATTATTTCTCTCCATGCCTCTCACTCAGAATCACTCTCTGATCTTCTTCTTACCCTCTTAGACACAACTTCTTTTATACTGTGATCCACTGTTGAGTTTACTTAATAATTGTATTGTAATGGCTTAGTCCACCGTCGATATTGTCCTCTTTAAGTTTTCCTTTTAGGACTTTCCCTCAAAGTTTTTAAAATGCATCTACTAGGGAGAGGTTTCCACATCTTGTAAAAAGTGTTTCGTTCTCCTTCCCAACCGATGTGGGATCTCACAATCCATCTCCTTCAGGGTCCATCGTACTCGCTGGCACCCCTTATAAAGGGTGTTTCATTCTCCTCTCCAAACGACGTGGGATCTCACAATCCACCCCCTTTGGGACCCAGCGACCTCGCTGGCACTCATTCCCTTCTCCAATCGATGTGGGACCCCCCAATCCAGCCCTTCGGGGCCTAGCATATTTGCTGGCACACCGCCTCTTGTCCACCCCTCCTTCAAGGCTCAACCACTTTGCTAGCACATTGCCTGATGTCTAACTCTGATACCATTTGTAATAGACCAAACCCACAACTAATAAATATTGTCCTCTTTGGGCTTTCCCTTCTGAGTTCTCTTCAAAGTTTTTAAAACGCATCTGCTAGGAAGAGGTTTCTACACCCTTATAAATGATGTTTCGTTCTCCTCCCCAACCGACGTGGGATCTCACATGTATACTTCCAGAATAAGTTGTCAATTCTGAATGTGGGGGTATCAGCATATGAAATGTTGGATCCAGATAACTACTTTTTGTTAGCTTTCAAAGATTTGTGATATGTTCTTCCCTGAATAGTAGTAAGGACAAAGATGTAATGAGAAAGTGAAATGTGTGCAGGATTATCAAAGTTGTTAGATTAACATTAGCTCAAAATGGTATCAGATGAAGTTGTTTGAATGTCCTTATTGTAAGTGCTGTTTTGCAGGAATCCCAGTTAATGCCAAAGCCCCTCACAGTGAAGGAAGGCACAGGCTGTGAAACTGCTATTCCTGGCCTGCACACACACCAATCCATTGCCTCTCAAGGTTTCAAAAGTGCTGAATTAATGAGACAGCTTTGAGCTCATACAAGAAGCACTGTTGTTTTCTGTAAGAACAGTTGCATGTACCCATTCAATTACCACATTCAACTGATTGTAACTTAATGA